AGCTTGGATTGCAGGTTAAGGGCTTGGTTATAGGTTTGAGAAAACGGGAGATAAGAATAACAATGGATCGTAATCTGGAAATGATTCTGTTGCATGCAGTGTTTAATATATTATGAAGAACAGAATTGAAGGACGGTAATGGTCGAGGAGAAAAGTGAGAGATATATCAGAGATAATAGAGAGAGAGAAAGAAAGAGAGAGAGAGAGAGAGAGAGAGAGAGAGAGAGAAGGGAGAGAAAAGACATATTACACTTGTATTACATCACAGTGGAGTGTGTGTGTGTGTGTGTGTGTATGTGTAAACCTGCATAAAGATGAAATGAGAAACGAAAACAAAATTGGAAAAGAAAAAAAGAGATAACGATTTCAAAATTATGCAGCATTGTTCTGTTTATATCGGGCTATGCCCCAATCCTTTAATATAATTATACTATAGACATTTTTCTAAAAAAAGATTGATAAATGAAACCAAGGAATAAAATGAGCAAATGAATCATAAGTGAACACATATGCAAATATAATTAGCATTTATATTATGGTAAACAACCGAAATATGTGTATGGGGGGGGGGGGGGGTGGAGAGAAGGAGACAAACAGAAAGGCAGATTAATAAAGAGGAATATAAGATGGAATAAGGCAATCGTAACAAGCGGACATACAAACGATAATCAACTTTTTTTGCTCAAAAACAGCGCGTGACCGAAAGATGGCGCTATGCAGCGATCAGAATGGCTGGTACCGACATACCGGATTATTTGCTATACAACCGGAACAGAGGTGATTTTTTGAATGACAAATTTGGGGTACAATGTGAGTATGTACCCCACCCTGATAGAATTTGAGAACCCCCTTTTTATTGTTTTTGTAAAAGTTTTTACCAGCCATCTATGCCCATTTTCCGTATAATAACCCTGGATACGCCATTGATGCGTGACACTCACCAATCTTGTTTCGTTTTGTGGCGGAATGAAGAGATGAGGTGGGGGGGGGGGGGGGGGATGGCTCATTCTTTTGGAGCAGAGGAGAAGATGGAAAAAAGGAGAGCAATTGACAGATATATTAAACTAAATACTTAGATGGAATATATTTTTATTTTTTTAGTTTAAATACAAATAAAACATTATTTTATCATTTAAAATCAATATTTCTGTGCTTGTGATCTTTGTTCTTTTAAATGGACAAAACAAAAAACAAAATTATCTTTTTAATTATCAATATTTCCTCATTGTCTTTTATTCGTAATTTTCCTGGGGGTGAGGAGGGGGTGATGGGGTTATAATAACATTATTTCATGAAGAAAATTTTCTCAACGAAAAATGTAATTATTAGACAAAAAGATTGTTGAAAATATATAAAGGGGAGCATTAGTACGGCATATCAGCTGGCAATGAAAATTCTCGGCAAAACCGTCGTAGATGGGGTACTGTCTCTAGCTAAAGAGAGCAGGAGTGAATATTTCAAAATTCATATCCAAGGAACACCTTGATTGTGCTTACCACCTCATATCAGTACTTGTCAGGCCGATCTCCATCTTCACCGTAATTCATCATCATCATCATCATCATCATCATCATCATCATCATCAGCATCATCATCATCATCATCAGCAGCAGCAGCAGCAGCAGCAGCATCGTGATCAGTATCATCATCATCATCATCATCATCATCATCATCATCATCATCACCACAACTTTATCATCATCATTATCATCATCACCACCTAGTTTGCAGGCACAAACCCTTGACTTGGCATCCGTATAGTGCCATCACCACCACCACCATCACCACCATCCTCATTATTATCATCATCCCCACCTAGGGAGGGGGTGTATTTCATGAGCTGTTTCAATCAACGAAGGTCTTTAATTCAGGGCTTCTCAAAGTCCGGATGCAGATCGCGGGACATACAGTATGTTGGTCCGGACCGTCCGGAGGGGAGGGGGATAGGGGGTGGGTGGGCTTAAAAGGGCCGCGGCACACTGGTCCCCCCTCTTTTGATACGGAATGTATGTTATTTTGACCTAAAATTTAAAACAAGGCTCATTTTCTTCAGTATACAAGTAAAAGTACTGTAAATTTTAGGAGTAGATTGTCTGAACATTAATTTTGATTCAATGCCGTCGTATGCAATAACTCCATTTTGGTTTAAGCGACTTTCTGCCGGAAAACGGTGGCATTTTCCCCACTGATATATTACATGCATATCACTTTTGATTGTCTTAACCCTAATAAGGCCGGGCTATTTGAGGTCTTAGTATGGCCGGGGGGGGGGGGCATTATGGCCCCCCTTAAGATCTCGGCCTCGAAGCGGCCGATCGCCGCGAAAATTTGCACGCATGTCAAGTGAAGTGTATAGAGTATATGATAATTTCAATTTTTTGAAAAATTCACTCATTCGCATATTTATGGTAATTAATGCAAATAAAGTCATAAAACTCACATTTTTACCCATAAATCACATATTATTCATGATTAGGCATTCTTTTTCACTACATATAGTCATTAGACCATTCTGAATAATAATACAAAAAAAAAAATGGAAGAGCCTGCTTATTCCTTATGTTATCCCTTTTTTTGATAATTTCTTATGTATTTTATTGTTTTTTTAACTTATGTATTTCATTGTTTTTGTTGTTTTATTTCATTTCTTACTAAATTCAACTATTTTGACACCCAAAACAACCACCTAAACTTTAAACAAGACCCAATAACCCATGTTTGATCTGTTTTTAGGAAAAATGACTTTTCCATATGTTTTGTACACAAATCACGAAAATGAGCGATTTTCGGGCTGACATGCAAAGACAAAAGGTCACGTGACCTTGTAACCGTAGGTCCGATTTTCAAAAAAAATCTTTTAAAAGTTGCGCAAGACTCGAAAGAAAAAAGTCAGCGAGTGGCGGGGCGCCATCCATATGCGTTCTCGAGCAATCAGAAAAATTGTGAAGGGGGGGGGGCATAATGCCCCCCGGCCTTATTAGGGTTAACGCTTAAAATGAAGGCACATGTAAAGACACATAATATGTATTATACCACAAACTTATATGTATGGAAATAATTGATCAAGTTAGTAAACTAAATTTGCCCATTGTTTTAGACGTTTAAGCTTGTATAGAAATCACATCTGGACCATCAAGGAAAAAGTTTAAGAACCACTGGCCTAGATGTATGGAAAGCAAACCCCGCCCTGAAACATCAAGTTGGTCCCATGGTATAATGGTTAGCACTCGAGACTCTGAATCTCGTGATCCGAGTGCAAATCCCGGTGGGACCCCTCTTTGTAGAGGAAAAATCAAAGATAGAGTTTTTGTCAAGGCAAGGCCTGAGTGATTAGAAAAAAAGGTAAACAGTTTTTATTCCTTAGAAGCATTGGCGCACCGAGGGGTGTTTTGGGTGTTCAAACAACCCCCTTGGCAAACAGGGGGTGTTTAGGTGTTCAAACACTCCCGCCTCCCTTGGCAAAAGGAGGTTCCCTTTTCATTCTCACAAGTGCATTTTTTCATCTCTGGTGAGTGCACATTTTCAGGTGTTAGAAGTGCCCCTTGTGAACTTCTTTAATCTATAAATAAAAACTTTGATACGTGTTTCTTTTCTTTTCTAATATGTGTTGTTGTTGTTCCTTCTGATAAGTGCCTCCTTTTCGTTCTCCATAACATGCGCCACTAAGAACAACTTTTTATTTAAAATTCCTCAAAGCTCGTTCGCTATGCTCCCTCACATTCATGTTTGATACGATATGAGATTGCGCTTAAAACTCTATCAGGATTGTTTTCCCTCTTTATTAGAAATAACTTTCGCAGCGACACAATGCCCCTGTTCAAACCTCAAATACCATAGTGTACATAAAGACGGTCCCATGGTGTAATGGTTAGCACTCGAGACTCTGAATCTCGCGATCCGAGTTCAAATCCCGGTGGGACCTCTTACTTTTTTGTAGAGGAAAAATTTCAAATAGGCGTTGATAGATGCGTAATAGGTACATGTATTAAGAATAATAATAATAATATGAATTAAAAAATAATTGCCGCTCGCTTGCTAATGAGTATTCAGACCATATACCCGACTGCAAAGTATGATGCTTTAGCAGTACCTTTGACCATGTAAAGAGAGAAACACTATAGAAATCATCCTGATACTAAGTAGGGGTATATAGTACAATATATACCAATCTCTAAAAATTATATATTTTCGCTTTGAACTTTCCCGTTGTTGGTGCCCCTTTTTTTTCTGGAGAAATTGAATTTATTGTAGATGCCCCTCCCTCCCCCACAACTTTGGAAGAGGCAATTTGTGAAGTCAATTTTCAAATATCCACCACAACATCAAGACGGTCCCATGATGGTTAGCACTCGAGACTCTGAATCTCGCGATCAGTGTTCAAATCCCGGTAGGACGTCGTCCTTTTGAAGAGGAAAAAATTTCAAATAGGCGTTGATAGATTTTTAATTGATATAAAGGCCTGATTAGATGAAGAAAAGAAAAAAGACACGTACATATATTTTACATGTTTTATCCCTTCAAAGGAATTACAATTTTAATATTTTTCAGATGATATATCCCGGAATAATGATAATCAAACGAGACTTCAAATCTCGCGATCAAAATCCAAATCTCGGTGAGACCTTATCATTTTGTTGAGGAAAAATCAAAAATAGGAGCTACAGGATTTATTTCCCAACAGCATTCAGCCCTATGGTTCAAAGGAAAAGTGAATAACGAAAAGAAAAGGAAAAGGAAAGGACAGCAAAGAGTAGGACCGCTTTTTTATTTACATTTTAGTATTTTATTTATGCATGTTTTTATATATTTTTTGTTTTTGTTCAACGGTTGGAAACCACCCCCCCCCCCCCCCATGGATCGACACACCATACAGGTAGATCACGTGAGATGTTCGAAATCTTAGGGAGGAGGGGAGGGGAGGAGGGGGAAGGGGTGAAGTTAGTTGGCGCGCGTCGGCGTCGGAGCTTCCTGGAGTTAGTATTACACATGCGGCTTGCCATACTTTACTGCGGAAATTATGAACTGTGACCTATCGAACTCGGGACGGGCAAATCATTGTTTCCTCCTTTTCGCTTATAATAGGCCTAGACTCTGGTGCATTCTGAATTTAAAATGCTGAAAAATCTTATGAACTGGAAGGAATTCGGGCTTGGCCTTCTTGTCGGAACAAGTGGAACGATTATCGTTAATCACTTGGTAAACCGTGCTCGTGCAAATGAAGTGCAGCAGCTCACAGTCGCCATCAGGGAGCTTCGCAGGGAGTGGCGGGAGCTGCGGGCAGCTCTCCCGGTGCCCGTAGATGAGGCGGATGGTGAAGTTAGGAGGCGAGGACGACCAAGAACACCGGGAGATACTCGGCCTCGAAGCCGGGGCGGTGGTATGAAGAGGGTTGGATCAGAGATTATATCACTGCACCAAAGCTCAAGCGATGAAGACGAAGATCTTGACTTTGAAGAAGCTAATGAAGGGTGAATATACTGATCTATCGTTTACTGATTAGCTTTAACTTATAAGTGCTTCTGATGATGTGATAAACCTAAATAATGATAATGAAATTAGTAAAGACTTGAGTAATGATGATGTCTTGATGATGGTGATGATGGTGGTTGAATAGTTGAAGAAAGGGAAAAATGAAGTTGGAGAGTCCAGCCGTAAATGGAGATATTAAGCTGTGAAGCTTATTTATTCGATCTGTAAAGACAGATAAAATAACAATGACAGATTTAGTATATCATTCATGTTACACAAGAATGCAATATATAATCCAAATTATCGGAACAAACCAAGTAACTGTGCCTATAAAGATTCATTTAAAGACATTTGCTTTTGTTCTATAAACTGTCAATCTTGACCTCGTCCTTTAACTAACAAAAATCCAGAGTAACCAATGGTTACAAAACCTTATGCATTTTCTAATATGCATTACTTTCAAATACTCATACTTTCAGAGTTTCTAAAACCGACCAGACTTTCCTTTAAACAGATCACTGCCAATTTGCATGAACCAAAATAACTGTAAACATCTTTATCTTGCATCCATACACAAGCTTGATAATTCTCATCTATCTTCACTTTAAATGTGCTATATGACCTTCGACTGACTTTGACAGGCACCTAATTTGCATATTTATGCTCGCCTAAGAAAAACTGTCTTATAAAATGACTTCATACAATTTAACCCTGTTTGATGAATTAAACTTAAATATCTGACTTACATAAAACTTCCCAGTAATAATCTAGAGATTACACTTCAATACAAAATAAACTATCTGGCATAACTTGTAATTTACACCTGTAATTTACATCTGTAATCTACTCCTGTAATCCACACATGCACTACAGCAAGCCTTTCAAGTTACATTGTTAACTCTTAAAAATGATTTAACACTGTCTTTCAATTCTGACTCTAAATACAATGCCAGAGGTGCAAATTTTAACCTTTCACCAAGTCAATAAATAGTGTCTTGCAACTTTTATGCAAGCTAAATCAATTTCCAAAGACCAACTTTTGTCACCCAAACAAACTGCATAAAATCCAAGGTTCTATCATGCACAATTATAAACATCCTTTATCTTCAGGACTTCTATAAATATACACTGTTTACTTTATAAATGACATAAAACAATATTTGCCTAATATTGTAATTCTGTTTTGACAATTATCATTTAACTGGAAAAACACAAGACGAAAAGTACGTGTCATGGGCGCGGCCATTTTAGGTGCAGCCATCTTGGAATTAATGCCACACGTGCATTATGCAAATGAGTTAATTACAGTTCTTTAGAGTCCGTTTTACAGTTCAACTTGAATCTATCTTATTTTCCGTTTTATGAGTTCACATACCAGTTTATATTAATCTAAACACTCACTTCTGTGGCGGGACAAAACTTCGTCGGGAATACTTGAATGGCAACTGACGGGTTAACTGGTAAATGAGTCAAACTGGACTACATTTCTGACTGTGCACTGCGTTGACTGAAGAACATGGCGACAGTGCCGAACTTAACCTATGGTAGCTTATAAGAGCAAAAAAAGAGAAAATCTAAACCAAGCAAAAATCATCGCTCGGCGAAACATCCTCCCCACCCAATGAGGGAACTTTCCTCATGAAAAACATTAACATTAAATTAACACTTGCTATATTACTGTTCGTAGCCTTCAACTGGGTATACTGAATACACTTCCCCAACGCGAGCGATGGTCCATTTTCCACGTAACGTGTTGGCGTCAGCCATCAAAAACGATATCGTCGACACAAAAATTGCGACGATCAATGTTCCACTTCCATCTTGGCGTCAATAACGGGAGCACGTCTCTTCTCAAACGCTGCCAGAAGGCGTCTGCAATCCGTTGGATGAGCTCTACTCGATGCCTTGGGTTCTTGGTTTCTCGGAACGGCTCTTGTGCGACATCACTGGATGCACATCCTAACAGCATCCTTTCACCATCGCAGAAATCAGAGTTCAACCATGTTTCAGTGACACACACAGTATCTATTTCATCAGAAGTAACTCTCACTATCAAATTTAAATCTCCATATTTGAATTATTTATATATTTTATTTTCATGTGAGACAAATATCAGCACTCAAATATTGTTTCATAAACATGCAACTCATTTTGTAAATTGCCACACAGATTCACCACTCCAGAGTACCCGCTCCTCTACAGAGATGCTCCTGAGCAGCAGTTTCAAAGTATAGCAGCAACATCAGAGGAGCTTCAAGAATTCCTGGAAGAGATAGACAAACTCTTTGACGGTTCTCAGTCCGAACACCAAGAAGCCCTCCGAAGAATGCTGGCAAAAGAGTCTCAGGTACTCCCTCCTCTAAATAAATTAATAAATGAGCCAATAAATCAATAAATTTTGACATTTTGACCTTTATTTCCATCATTATGACAATATATACAAAGATAAAAGAGATGGAATATCATAACAGATATAAACAAACATTAAAATTACATATAAATTGACATAATAACAATTCAAAATACAAAGAATATATGAAAGTATAAATCAAACTAAAAATGGACAATGGCGCATCCGTTACAGCCAATAATAAGGCTCGACAATAAAGTGCAATAGGTGCACAAATAATAACATAAGCTGTTTGAAAAAGGAGAAAATGGAATTGCATTTTTGTATGAGAGATGTAACAAAAAATTAGTGAATTTGTACTGAAATTAAAATCCTAACGGGTTTTAATACATAATTTCTGCTCTTTATTCCTGTGGAATTTTATTAGTTCCCTTATATTGGACCATTCCCACTCAACATGGTAATTTGAATTTGATTTGTTATTTTACAACTAATAATAATACAACTCTCAGCACCGTACAGAGAATGCAATAGATTAAGATGATATTTCGTAGTCATACCATCTTTGAAGCATTAGCCAATTTTGTGGTTTGCTAAAAATATGCCTTATTGTAATTATTGTTTTTAATGAACAAAAGAAATTCTTTCTAGCCAGAGACAGGAAGTAAACAGAGTGTAAGAATGACCTTGTAGGAAGTCACTGATTAATCTGATTATCAGCCTGCATTCTCCCTGCGTTCAGTTCTTGACTTGAGAACAATGCCCCCTTCCCCTTCCTCTTCCTGTCTTGTAGAAATAGTGCTTGATGTAAAGTTTGAAGAAAAAAATGAAGGCTTTCACCAACAAACAAACAAACAAAGCAAGAACATGAAGCTTAAATGTTTGATTTGCCATGATACGTAACCGTGGCGCAAATGTTCTTATACACATCTCATGTTATTTTAATAATCTGTTTAGATGTCTTAGTCTTAAATACTTATAAGTAGTATGATTTTTTAAAGTTTGGGGAAGCTTTCAAAATAAAATATATGCATTACCCAGTGTCCAAACATATCAATATTTTTAAAGATAATATAATGTTTTGAGTGATACGTGTATCTTTATCCCTTTTTACCCCTTTAGTATCTATCGAAGTCAGAATTCATGTGGCGGTTAACGCGAGCTAAGATCTTAGTCTCTGAAGTTTGTAGAACTCAAGGTGATGATGAGGAGAGGAAGAGACTAATATTTGAAGGTAAGGTATTAAAGACCTAAAAATTCCAACCACAAGGGGGGGGGGGGGGTGGGGATTTGTATGGTGTAAAAGTCATTTTCATTATCATTATCTTCATCATCATCCAGGCTATTATCATTATGATTGGCTTTTATGATTAGTTATTATGGATTATCAACATCTCATCACCATCATCGATATCATCATCATCTTCATGATAAAAATGTACGGTAGTAATTAGTGATTTGGCTCTTGAAAGCTCCAAAGTGCTCTGGTAAAATACTTCAATATCTCTGTGAGAAAATCACACTTATACAACACCAAATCTTAAAAGAGCTACTGCGAACAGAAATATTTTTTATATCGTCATCATTATCATTCATCACTATCATCAGCATCATCATAATCTTTGCCATTACCATCATCATCAGGAGGAAAGACCCAAAGGTCCCAGTCACTCAATTTGCTTTTCGCCTCACAGGCACATGTGTGACAAATATTTAATAATAGCAATAATGATAAAAGCAGCAGCAGCATCACCATGATTATTATGATCATCTCCATCAAGATCTTCTCCATTAGCAAGATCATCTTCTTTAGTCATCCAACTCTATTATTTTCATACTTGCTTTTACCACATAATCATCTTGAAAAATCTGTGAATGATATCTCTCTTTATTCCCCTCACAGGAAGGGACCATGCCAAGCGTGCAATAGATCTCGACGAGGACAGTTCTGATAGTCATAAATTCTATGCAATCACTCAGGGTATCATCACGGATTGGGTGTCTTTCTCTGAGCAAGCTACTCTCGGAAATGAATACAAGGTAGGAGAATAGGATATCAGGGCGTGTTTCACAAAGACTAAGTTCGACTTTAATGGCAGGCTGTTCATGCCACTATTTTCTCTCATCATTTACTGGCATCGGTTTCTCATGGGACGTACCAATCGTAGTTACAAATCTACAGAATTTACATTTTTAATTGAGAGACCAATGGTGAGAGCAACCAGTGGCATGAATGGCCTGCCATAGTTAAGTCCAACTTTAAGTCAATCTTAGTCTTTGTGAAACACCCCCCAGGAGGTCTTTTTTATTTTCCTACAACTTACTATATAACCATCATCTTCTCTCCATATTCTTATCTAATTTCACCTTGTTTTCTCTTATTTTATTCATTTTTGTTTTTTCCTCCTCTTGTATAAATTCCTTCATAGAACTCCTCATCTCTTTCTGCCTCTTTTACTGGGAGGATGTGCCAAACCATTATCTACTCTGGAAATGTTCACTTTAAGTTTTTGTTTAAACCGAGTAATAATAAATGGATATTGAAAATGAGACTTTATCTAGTTTATATACACTTAAGAGAAGTCTGTAGTTCAAATCTGGACCTCTAATTTTTCAATGTTAACATAGCTATAATGCACACAGACCCCTCAAAGTCTCAACATGGACCCCATAGAATAAAGAGTTACATGGTAGTGTTGAGCCATGTCTACTCCAATGACAACTTATTCAATTTGAATCAGTTTGGTGAATTCTGTTTTTGTAAAATTGAGAGATGAAGCTGATGAGTACATTACAAGAAACAATAATTTTCTTATACAGTAGGTTTGCGGTTGCACCATGTATTAAAGAGAAAGAGAGAGGGGGGGGGGGTTTAGGGAGTCCTAAAAAGGACTGTTGGTAATCTCCCCTCTCCCCCCTCTCTCTCTCACGGTGCAATTGTAAACCTACTTTATATCTACATTCACCATGCAAGCCAATATTTGTAAGCAGCATTTAATAATTCTCTTTTTCTCTTTTTCTGCATTATTCTTTAGAAACACATTGGGAGAGCTTTGGAATTAAAACCAGATGAACCCTACCTCAACCATCTTTATGGCAGGTTTCTTTTCAATGTAAGTTCCTTCAAAAGGATCAGTAGAAATTTTGACAATATTTTTGATAATTATTTTTGAAGTTTTATCTCGCTTGCACAAAGCAGGAGCAAGGCAGGAGCAAGGCGTAAATATGTGCTCTTTTTCTGATGATGGATGCGTCATCATTTCGGTTCAATTTTTAGGACAAATTAGATTTAAGAAAAATGTGTGTCCATATTCTGTGAGACTTTTACTCTAGGGTTGTTGATCATCAAATATGATAATGAAATTAATACAGTTTAGAAGTCATAGGGCAAAGGTCAATTGAGTAACATTATAATTTTTTTTTATAGAAAATGAGGTTTAATTCTTGAAGATTATTTTTTTGCCATGAAACTTGCACACAAGAATGATTAATATGTAACCAAGGGAAGAAGCATTCCCAATAGACCACATTACAAACAGAAATGCTATGCAGAACTCTACAGTGGTTGTTTTCAACAATCCAAAAGCTTGCCAGACGGTTGCCTATAACCTTTCAAAAGGTGTACATCAGGATAGTGGGGTTATATCAGCAGCCTGTGCTGAGTGGTCTAGTGGATGCAGTGAGCAGAAAATTCCAGTGGACAATGTACACTACAGTCTATTACAGTCAACATTATATTAACATTACATTGCAACATTTGCACCTGTAATAATAACAAACACCCTACAACTCTCAACTGTATTAATGGCCTTAGTTATTTAGCATTTATGCCAGGTTTTTTCTGCTGGCAGTAATCACTGACGTGCTGTGTGGCCTGTTTTTCGACTCAAAAACAGTTTTTAGTACCTTACACTCATGAGCCTTTACAGCCATACGGTGTAGTATTGTAGTAAAATAAACCCCCTCCCCCAAAAAACAAATACAAATATTATTCTCCTTAGGCCTTATAATAACAAGTACCAAATGGTAGAGAACATGGCATGAGAGCAAAAGTAAAAACAAACACACAGCTCAGATTATCTCTTGATATAAATGCTTGTTAAAATTGAAATCACTTTCAAGATAGAAGATACAAGGTATTTTATTTGGTCTTTGCAAACAAGTTACATAGAAATTTGGTTTCCACTGGCGTTACAGTAATATTCAAGAAAATACATAATTACAAGAAATAAATACATCATGTTTATAGAAATAGATGAAATGAGGAACAAATACATGCAAAAGATAATGAAGCAACAAAAGTGCTCATTGGTACTTCAAATCATGAGTTTCAAAATTAAGCCTTGGTCATTGGTATTTCAAATTATAATAGTTTCAGTATTAACTAATTTCTGACGCAGAAGTCTAACGTTTAACCTGTGAGTTGAATTTATGAACAGAGTCGGGTACAAATGAATATCTGAATCGTGAAAGGCTGGTTGGGGTGTGGTGAAGTCGGATACCAGAACGATTAAATGAATAAAATAAATCAAGTGGATGGGTATTGTCTTTCATGATTGCACAGACCTTATCAACAATTTGCTCAGTACAATGAGACTCAACAGAAGCTAATTCTACCCCAATTATGCGCTGTGCTATTTTACGTGGCCTGAGAGATTGCCAAATGAACATAATATTGAAAAACAGGACACTCTTTATTATTGAATTAAAGAACAGGGTCAGGATTGTTGCATCTATATGGAAACTTGTCAACTTTATTTTACGCAGAAAAAACAACCTCTTGTTAGCTTTCTTCTCAACCGATTGTGTGTTATTTCTCCATGATAATTTGTCATTTAAGACAGTTCCAAGATATTTATAGTTTCCAACCTGTTCAATCGCCTCATTATGAATGATCACATTCTTGTGGTCTGTACCTTTTCAATGGAAGTCGATTACCATTTCTTTTGTTTTGGTTGTGTTTAATGTTAAGTAATGATCATCACACCAGCGAATGAATTTGTCTACTTGTGAGAAATAATTAATTGCCTGCTCAGACAAAAGAGCAACAATTACGGTGTCATCAGCATATTTGAGTACCGGTATGCTACAACAAGAAGATGAGCTTACACAGTTGTATACAGTGAAAACAAAACCGGGGATAGGAAACACCCCTGAGGGGCACCTATGTATGAAGTCACCGTAGATGACTGATGACCACCCGCCTTTACGCACTGTGTTCGACCTATCAAGAAGTTGTGAATGTATCTAATCAATCCAAGGTCTACATTCATTCTTATCAACTTATGAGCCAGACAATGAGGGGCAATAGTATTAAAAGCACTACTAAAGTCCAGGAAAAGCTACGTCATCCTCCACACTCCTGTTCGGTCTGTCCGCAAATTGAAAAGGATCCATAATTTTTTTAGTTTGTTTAAAAAAATATGTCAATAACCGATCTCTCAAAACACTTCATAATATTCGATGTCAAAGCTGCAGGGCGATAATCATTTGGTTATTTTTCCTTTGTAATTTTTGGAACTGGAACGATTGGAAATTTTTTCCAAGTATTGGGTACCAAACCAGAATAAAAAATCATCAAAAACAGTGGAGGGACATATAGTAAGCTGTGTGATTCTACAATTTTGAATCCTAATTTAGGGACTAGGGGTATTATTATTCGATCTAATAAGTCATATTGCTTCATAATTGTGCATCAATATTGTGAGGAAAAAAAAAATCAAATATTTAATAAATAATATGAATATTTTCTGATAAGTTGTCTCTTCTTGCAAACTTCAGATTGCCAACTTAGGCTGGATGCAACGCAAGGCTGCCATAGTGATGTTCGGTCTGTCCCAGAGCCTCAGTCTAGATGACGCCCTCACTTGGTTCGAGAAGGCAGAGGATCTTGGGCCGGGCTTCTCCAATCTCAACCCATTCTATTCAGCAAAAGTGAGCATAAAACTGATTTTTGTTTTCTTCATCCAACGATACAATTAAATGTATACATGTAGCGAGCTCCCTTTCAGATATTTTGGTGAATCAGGCTAATTTCATGGTTCACTCATACCTGCCAACCCTTCCGAATAACCTGGACTATTTGGATTTTCTGGATGTTTAGGACCTGAAAATTCAGAATATTCTGATTTTTCAAAATTTCAATTTTCGTTGTTGTATGTTTTGTTTTTTGTTGTTCTTGAGCCAAATTAAGCATGTTTTATCGTGTGCCGCAATTTGAGAATTCACGTATTGGGTGCGTTGAATGGCTGCATGATCGAGCAGCGAATTTGTATTCGCTTTTTTGTACAGATTTACCGCGTATTGCCAGTTGCACTGCTGCAAGTGCGATTTCTTATTTTGAAGGCATACCGTGCCAAAAATTCCTAATTCTCATTTTTAAATGTTGGCAGGTATGTTCACTCCTCCCACCCCCCAACACATCACTTAGCCCTGTATAAATAAATAAAAAATGACGGAACTAAACTGCCCTTTTCATTAGTGAAAGGTGTTCAAAAATGTAGGTACTAATTAACTTTTGAGAATTGGTAAAGTTAAACACCAACAAACTAAACCCTCTTGTAAGTTTATTAAATGGCCCAATCATAAATACAATTTTAAAAGCAAGTAGCAGGCTAGAAAGCTTGAACTATTACCCCAGGTAAACTAGGGCTTGCACTCTAAATAGCTCGCAATCTTACTTATAATTGGATTGGTTCAGGGGCCACAGATTTTTTTTTTTAAGGGGGGGGGGGGTGGGCTGAGCATGCAAATAGCTCCCTCCCCCTCTGCTCATGAAGACTATGAATTGGATGCTTATGCTCTGTAGCTCTGGATAATTCCTTGAAAAGACATTCATTGATTAAAAAACAGGGATTTTAACAATAGAAAGATAAGAAAACTTTGAATAATGAAAGTGAGTTTGGGAATTCTAAATCTCATGCAGAAGAGGATAATAAGCATTATAAAATTGGTATATTTGGAGAGAAGAAATGCAGCAATGCCAACTCAGCAATCACAACCCCTCTCCCTCCCCCCCCCCCACAGCAGTTTGAATATCCATCGTCCTTTGGCACTAGGCTTCACACTGTAAGTGAATGTGCATCTAAACATACATGATACATTACAAATAGCTTCAATTTAGTTTTCTAAGTTCGGACAGAGATATAGGTGCCTTTTCTCTGATGGTGATGGCATTTGTTGTTAAGTTTTCAGGTGTAGATTTCTGCAGTTGCTGTAATTTGAAATCTGCACAGCAAATTTGTATCGATCTTGGTAGAAGTCATCCTTATGTCACCCATTTTCAAATGAATACCTAAATTTAACTTTTTCATCACATTGAAGTTCACCGCTACTTAATGTACGGTATACATGCATTGAATATATATGTAAACCACACTCAGAAGAAATCATCTATAGGCAAAGAGGATCTAAATTTAGTCCAATAGGGTGCCTACCAATTGTATTTGTCATTGTTCATCAAATCCAAAGACTGTCTTGATTATACAGGCAGGACAGACTGCCTTTCCATTGTTAATGCTTTTTGTGCTACAGGTGTTATTTCATTTCAACACAACAGTATTACAGGATTAAATAGAGTACTTTGTGTCTTGTCAGAGTAATTAGCATACTTTTCACTGGCAGGTGTTTTGTCACTGTTATGGAAGGAGGTTGTGAATAAATTACTGGGTTGGTTAAGCATCATTCTAGGGCTTTATGCATGTCACATTCTTTGTTATTGTATTGGTAGAGAGCTTCTGAATGTATTTAAAGGTTGGTTGTGTCATCTGTCATGGACCTGGTTGTGTCTATGGCAAGACATGCCAGGTTCTTTGTTATTGGAATGAGAGTCTTTTGAGTGCATTGCTACTATGCTAGGGCAAGGCATGGTGTATGCTTGTGCAGTGTGGCCATTTTGCTTAAATGTGTTCTGGCTATAATGGTTGTTGCAAGGTTTTTATGGGCACTGCTTTTCAGAGGGCAAAGCTAAGATGTCAGAGTAGATAGCCTGCCATTCCAAACACACTGTAAGTGATATTTTGGTTGTTTTTATCCAGTTTGATATGAACAAATTTTAAATAGCCATTCCTGCTGAAGTAGAATCTCTTCAAACAGACTCAAAGTAGTAGTATTGTTGCTGTTTTAAGAAAGTTTAATATGAAATTAAATATGAGATGTGTAGCCTAGATTTTTGAGCAAGAAGATTGTCTGTGTTTGATACATGTATATACATTGTAGGAGGTTATAGCTAGGAAAGTTTTTGAACATGATGAAGATTTGGTTATCAGTTTGTGACATCATTGCCTCTTTTACTTTACCTTTACCGCAAATACTGGAGGAATGCTGACACAGCAGTCGAGCTTCCAGGTCTATCTTCTTGGTCTTTCTTCTTGGTCTTTCTTCTTTATCAATTGCTTTATTTATTTTTATCCCATTAATTTCCCTTTTAATCCCCCAAAACTTGATTTTCCCATGCCTTTCCCCAAGTTATATGATTTGTATCATATTGCGTGCATGACATTTCACAAAATCTTGTATGATCGAGCTTTCAGAATTGCACTATTTTCTGAATATTGTTTATTCATAATTACGATATTGATTTATATATAAATGGTTTATTAAAATTATTATTTTTAATAATTTTGTTTAATGAGTAACAACAAAATTAATAGTGGAGCCGGTTGTCCCCCACAATGCATTTTTTTGTGACGTAGGGTCCTCACAACACAGATTTGTAATGTAACCAAATTTAATGCATACGTCTTTGTGAAGTGCCTCGATACAAACTATTTCATTCACCTGATAAGAATAACAGTATTTCAACAGTCAGAATGCATATATTAATGTTGCTAGGTAGGGCAAGCCATGATGTTTGTCCTACCTGGCAACGCCTAATGTTGCAGTTCGTATTCTGACTGTTGAAATACTGTTATTCTTATCAGGTGAATGAAATAGTTTGTATCAAGGCACTTCACAATGACGTACAGTGTATGCATTAAATTTGGTTACATTATGAAAATAGCCTATTGTCAGAATGTATACTGCTGGCACTTTCGTTGTGAGGAGCATACGTCACATCCGTGCGGCAATTTAAATATTTTGCTCAAAATAACCAAAACTAAGATCACTCTTAAAAATCACCTGATTGAAGTACGCCAGTGATATTTGGCAGTTTTAACCTTTGATTTACGGTATTTACAACCTGCTATAATATTTGAAAATTGAAGTGGACTTGGGCTTTAACTGATTTTTATGCCTCCGCCACCGAAGGTGGTGCCGGAGGCATCATGTTTTCGGGTTGTCCGTCCGTACGTCCGTACATCCGTCCGTACGTCCGTCCGTACGTCCGTCCCGTTTGACCGTTATCACAATATCTCAAGAACCATTTAAGATTTAAACTTAAGACTCGGGAATAGTATTTATCACCATAGGAAGACGATCTGATTAGATTTTGGAGTACGTAGGTCAAAGGTCACAGGTCACAGAGGTCAACTTATGAAATTCCTTGTATTGAGTTTGTTAGCGCGATATCTCAAGAACCGTTTGAGATTTAAACTTCAAACTTAAGGATAGTATGTATCACCATAGGAAGACGATCTGATTAGATTTTGGAGCACGTATGTCAAAGGTCAAGTGTCACAGAGGTCAACTTATGAAATTCCATACATTGAGATTGTTATCATGATATCTCAAGAACCACTGGAGATTTAAACTTCAAACTTAGTGATAGTGTGTATCACTATAGGAAAACAATCTGATTACATTTTGGAGCACGTAGGTCAAAGGTCAAGGGTCATAGAGGTCAACTTATGAAATTCCATACATTGAGATTGTTAAGATATCTCAAGAACCACTGGAGATGTAAAAACTTCAAACTTAAGGATAGTATGTATCACCATAGGAAGACGATCTGATTAGATTTTGAGCACGTAGGTCAAAGGTCAAGGGTCACAGAGGTCAACTTATGAAATTCCATACATTGAGATTATCATAATATCTCAAGAACCACTGGAGATTTAAACTTCAAACTTAATGATAGTGTGTATCACCATAGGAAGACAATCTGATTAGATTTTGGAGCACGTAGGTCAAAGGTCAAGGGTCACAGAGGTCAACTTATGAAATTCCATACATTTAGATCGTTATCGCGATATCTCAAGAACCACTGGAGAATTTTTACTTCAAACTTAATGATAGTATGTATCACCATATCATAATATCTCAAGAACCACTGGAGATTTAAACTTCAAACTTAATGATAGTGTGTATCACCATAGGAAGACAATCTGATTAGATTTTGGAGCACGTAGGTCAAAGGTCAAGGGTCACAGAGGTCAACTTATGAAATTCCATACATTGAGATTGTTATCATGATATCTCAAGAACCACTGGAGATTTAAACTCCAAACTTGTTTAAATTGCTCTATGGCGGAGGCATCATTTTCGACTGCGCGCAGTCAAAATTCCATCTAGTTTCCTCTATATTAGTGCATCCACACACAAACATATTACTATCAATATAACTTGGATGCTGGTGTGAGGAAATAAGATTCTCAGGGGGAAAATGGGAAATTTATATTATCAGTATAAAGAAAACAATTAGTGGATAGTGAGCCAATGACATCACAGATTCATGAGTGAGTTGCCAATTTTTGTCTTGTGATTTCCAAATTTTTTCATGTCATTAAAAATTCATAACTTTCGTATTACTATTATTAGATTTTGCTCAAACTTATTTTGATTGTTTGGATGAGTTTGAAAGTAAGTTATTTTTGGAGTGGAGTCTTCTATATTTCTTCTACTGTTCTAACCTTCTAACATGCACAAAAATCCTGAAAATTTCTCAAACCACAAAGATATTTATGGTTTTCTTTGAAGGCATCACTATGCGACAACCTCTATTAACAGTAAAATCTCCCAGCCAATATTTGAATTTTCCCAACAGTTTTTCCATGAAAGGGGAAATCCTAATTATTGTAATGACGACAATAGAATAGGTCACTAATATCAATCAACCTTGATGCTCGATAATAGTGGTACATTGTACATACATTGTAAATGGGTAGTTTAGGGTTAAATGGGGTTAATTTATGCTGAATATCTGGCCCTGTTGTCACAGTTCCATGTCGGCTGTTTTCTGCTGGCATGGATCTCCCCTGTCATAATGGTGGCATTTTCGACTCGAAAACAGTTCATTTATTGGTTACATCTTCAACATTTTCTGGTGATGTCAAATGACCATTTCATGAATTATTTTTTACATCATTTACCTTACAAAAAATATAAGGTTATTATTCTATTAAATAATAATAATTTATGTAAACAATTTGAAGGCTATTTTTTTTTAAACACCAAACTTGTTATCCTGTTACACCAGGGAGATAATTTTTATACTACTGCTCATTCTAATGTCAGCATCAATACTGAGAAAGTGGAGAAGTGCAAATCTAAAGGGTACATTTGTTTTGTGGATTCTCCCCCCCCCCCCCAATAACCTTTCCACAAAAATGACCCTTAAATCAGGTTCAGGTTTGGTGGCTTCCGAATGGCACAACCCTGTCGGAACCAAATCTGCCGAGTTCCCCCCCCCCAGCAATCCCTTTGATAAAAAGCTTAATTTTTATTGCTCATTTATCCCTTTAATCATTTCCGGGTCATTTCTTTGATAAAAGGTCAGTTTGTTACAGGTAAAATTGGCAGATATTCAGATTGTGATTTTGTTTCATCCAACCCCACCTGGCACACCCCATCATCACAAATTATAGGCATACACCGACGGGTAATTCCGCTAGTATATATAGGATCTCTATGGGCATGCATCAAGTTTAGTGGACTTGCCCTTTAATTGTTATTGGTTGATATTTAATTTAAAAAACTAGTTACTCATACCAATAGTTAGTGATGGAGTGTTATGTACCTGCTGATATAGCTGAACATAAGAATTTTATAACTTTTTTCCCCTTTCATTTTGATTTGTTTGAATGTACCTACGTTAATTGCAGGGAATAACTCAAGGAAAGTATTACCTAAGTTGGCCTGTTTACATTTTGGATAAAAAATGTAGCTCAAAAACTGTTTAAAAAAAGCCAAAATAAAGCCAAACCATTGTGTATCATGTGTGTTAAGATGGCACAATCACTTATAGTGAGGAGCCTGAATGCACTGTTAATTAAAACCCCATAAGTGACATAACTACCGAGGTGAGTTAAGTGTTGACATTCGACATAAGATATAGAGTTTAAAAACTTGCTAATATTCATATTGGTGTTTTTAATCATCTGGGATAGGGACATGGTATGAAATGTTCCTCCTCTCATTTGTCGTCTATCATTATGCCTGAAAAACAGATTGCTAGAAAAGAACTTCCATGGGAGTCAAGTTAGGTAGTAGAGATGATTGAAAATTAATTAGAAATTAAGAAAACTGCTTTCTGGCATTGCACATATATTTGTAATTAATTTAGAGATGATAGGAGCAGATCCAAGGTGGGGGGGGGGGGGGGGGCAGGGGGCTAATAGGACCACCATACCCCTCTATTATTTGATTGTAATTGATTTTTTTTTAATGTATTAAAAGACCCCTACCCCTTTCCCTTTAAATAACCTTTATTTTGTCGTTGAGTGTTTGATCTAAACTCAGCACTCCAAAATATGTAACATTTCTTTGCTTGGCTTGTCAGAATTTTGTGGGGGATTAGATCCTCACTTTCCAAAATCATGATCAGATTCTAAAAAATGTGATGAGAGCACTCTTAGCAGGTCCTTTCTTCTTAATTGGAATCCGTCTATTAATGAATTCAACATTCATTTTTTTTTTTTAATGATTTACTTAAATGCCTACAAATTAGTTGTAAATGGAGATCAGATTTATATTATTTTTTAATTGAATTTTTACATTGCATTATTGGTGGTAAGAGACTCTTGTTAATGTATAATCTCCCCTTTTTTTTTAACAGTGTTACATTGCCAAAGGACAGCCTGAAATAGCAGTGGAGTACTTGCGCAAGGCAATATCCTTTTCCGGTAGCAGTTTTGAGGTATGTACAGGTACAAGGGGGTATTATGACGTATGAAGTCTTCATTGAATGATAATAATGTAAACAAGATTATATGAGATGAGCAAGTACATTTGGTAGAGCAACTATATATTGACCATATCTTAAGCTGATGTGTAAGGTGTTGTATCATTTAATTTGACAAATTGCGTTCTTAACTTTATAATATTTTTTGCACAGACAGGCATTTTATTAGCTTTATAGGGCAATTGAACTCTTTATATAGTAATTTCATTTGAATGATAGATAAATAAGAGAAACACAATGGTGAAAGTTTGAAATGAATCAGATCAATAATATGAAATTTATGGATATATATATATTTGAAATATGAGATCACTAAGTTTAAGCGAATCTCAAATTGGCAGTTTGGTCAGTGGATTGTGATGTACAGTATTGCTTGAAATAAAGTAGACACATGCATTCACGCCTACTTTATTTCAAACAACACTGTAGGTGCAGATAAATCTCCCATTTGACGTGTTCAAAAATTCATTAATATTTCTTTTTCTTTTATAATAATAATAATAATAATAATAGTGGCTACTTGTATAGCGCACAGGTCCACCTTTCGGTGCTCATGGCGCCTTCTTCCTTGAGGCACAATTCTAAACATATCATAGCATAGTATTATAGTTCCTCTACAGAGAAAAGACCCTCCTGAGTCATAAGTTTTTGAAACATTGAAATTTTTAGTCATTTTGTGTGTTGGAACAACGAGAAAGTTGTCCGACATTACATTACAGGGACATTACTGATTCAGCCTATTTGAAGAGCCATATCTATAGTGATTACAACTTTGATAAATTCATAACCTTCTCAATTTTTGTCTGATTTCATTCAAACTTTCACCAGTCTACATCTCTGATTTTTCTATCAAGGTTAAATTTCCTCTTAATATTATATCAGAGTTTTACTTTTCAGAAAGTAAAACTAGCAAAAAATCAAAAAAATCATGAATTTTACATTTGAAGTTGAGTATTCAGTACCAACAAATGTTTATATTTCTGTGCCTCTGAAAACATGAATCATAATATTATGTTTGTGTTACCTGTCCATTGATCTATTCCTCCCCCCCCCCACCTTCTATAACTGCAAATACTTTGAAACCATTTAAGTATGTAAAACCATATAAGGATGAACAGATTGGACTTCAAGGTGTTGCAATAACTTGAGAACCACTACAGCAATTTTAACTAAACGTGGGTCAAGTATATACATTTATTTACCTTTTTATTTAAACCATGAAAGAAAAAATTGTTTGGTGTCACCTGATACCTGTCCAGCCAATAGGATCCTCGCAAATAAATACCCTATTTTAATGTCACTTTCATCTAATTAATTTTTGTGCTTTCTCTCCCTGCAGGAAAATGAAGTACGGCAAGAGGCGGAGGAGCTTCTGCAGAAATACGAGTGAATGAGGGAAGACTCGACAGAGGAAGTGGCTCAACTTGTACAAAACCAAGAGATGAAGGATTCATATCATTATGCAAGTCCCAGATCCCCCATGTATTCATATGTATAGATGTCTTTTCCCCCTTGTCTATCATTTTTATTGCTCTTAGCTGATGCAACGAAAATTCATGATTTGATTTGAACAAAGTCATTTCATTTTCACTATTAATCAATATTTGTATTGAAGTGTGATGAGCACCTGTTTTAGTGACCACATTTTTTTTCTTCCCTTGGGTGGTCGCTATAGACAGAAATTGAGTGTCATTATAGAAATGGATATCCATGTAACTTTTTATAAAGGGGACTCTCAATCAGAGGTTTAGCTCAGATCTTTGATCGTTTGAATCAAGGCCAAAAAGTGAGAGATGTATGAGGAAAATATGACAAGACATAACAAAGTTATGGATTTTTAATTTATCAAGTCTAAATAGTAAGAAAATTGAAATCTATTAATTTTAGTGTACAAAGTAAATGGAGCTCAAAAGTAACGTCGCAATATTTAATTCATACTGTAAAATATTAGTTTAATCATAAATTTGCTGTGCAAATCCAAGCTTTTTCGTCTCATGTGACCACAGATCCTCACGAAGCAATAGCAATTGTATGTGCTTCCCAGAAAAATCAAAACCGAGAATTATCAATGTTTTATCATATTTGTAAATCTTAGATCCATCTCTTTTATTTCATGCAACTCATATCATGCATATTTCATGCATGAGTGATTAAAATCCATTTGAAGAGAGGGAACCGAGGAGTCATTTGGCGGACGGTATCTGAATTTCGAAGAGAAATCACATTTCTACAAAGTTCAGTTTTTGCCCTTCCATATGACACCTCAATCAGGAAAAATTAGCAAGGAATAAGAAATTTCTGTTTGTTTAAATTGATGCTTGCATTTCAATAATTTTATTTCAAAAGATCGTTTTCAACGGAATTGACAATCAGCCATGCATGAAATTTTTTGTCTATGGCTGATCTTCACTTTAAACTGTCCTACTTGTAGCTTCTTGCTCCCTCTATACAGTGCGTCCCAGAAAAAACGAAACCGAGAAGTATCGATGTTTTATCATAACTTAATCACAACTATAATTAATCAGTTGATGCTACTCATGTGATGCATATTTCACGCATGAGTGATTAAAAGCAATTTGAAGGAAGGAAACCAAAAAGTAATTTGGCGGGCGGTATCTGAATTTCAAAGAAAAATTCATATTTATAAAAAGTTCATTTTCTGCTCTTTCATATGATACCTCAATCAAGAAAAATGAGCCAGGAATAACAAAGTTCTGTTTGTTTAAAGTAGCCCTTACATTTTCATAATTTTAACAAACAAATTCGTTTTCACTGGGTGTCTGCCGTAGCAAAAAGCAGATTTGACAAAAGACTTAACTCCGTTTCGTTGACAATCAGCCATGCATGAAGACTCTCGTCTACGGCCGATTGTCAACGAAACGGAGTTAAGTCTTTTGTTATTTTCGTTTATTGATACGGCAGGCAGCCAGTGAAAACGAATTCGTTTAATTAAATTATGGAAAAGCAAGCACTACTTTAAACAAACAGAACTTTGTCATTCCTCGCTCATTTTTCCTGATTGAGGTGTCATATGAAAGGGCAGAAACTCAACTTTTTAGAAATGTGAATTTTTCTTCAAAATTCAGATACCGCCCGCCAAATGTCTTTTTGGTTTCCTTCCTTCAAATTGCTTTTAATCACTCCTGCGTGAAATTTGCATTATCTGAGTAGCATCACATGAAAGAGGAGACTCTAAGCTTTCCAAATATGTATCATTCATTAATTATAGTTGTGATTAAGTTATGATAGAACATTGATACTTCTCGGTTTCGTTTTTTCTGGGACGCACTGTATAGAAAACTTCCCCAATCGGTCCCCCATGATCCTCTTTTTCTTATGTTAAATGAGAGCCGAGTTAATGAGATAGCCACCTGTCACAGTGACCTCGCTGGCTCGTTGTGTGGTCTAATCCCTTCTGCTGAAGTAGTAAAGTCTGCCTTTAAACAAATGGAACTGTCCTATTTCCTTGCTCATTTTTCTAGAAATGTGATTTTATCTTTGAAATATGCATCATATGAGTTGCATGAAGTAATTGGCACTATGTTTATATCAGTAAATTGTCTGCCCAGATAATTTTTGCTCATAAATAAATACGAGAGAATCATGACTACATTCCATGTTTATTTTAATGTCAATAAAATACATTAGATGAAACAATGCATTCTTTGTATTTTCCAATTGCACAATACAAGTCAAATATCAATTGCTAGACCTCTCTTTGGACTAAAATTTAATGGATTCATATCAGATGCATTTATTCTCGAAAATTAGCCCTAAACTGTATGATGCGTTTAAGGGGATTTTCTCCATTGAAGTTCATGTTGCTTCAAGAATTTCAACACCTACAGAGTTTAGGTATCGGGGTCATGAATTTGGTTCAAATGCACATGTTGGAAGCTAGTCGTGGTTGTAGCTACCATTGTATGGCCGTATAAAGCGCTATTTAAAATTTATCAAAATTGAAAGCAGAAGTGTTTTAGGGGCTAATTTCTAGTGCTTATAATACATCATCCACAGGGTCATACAAATATATCAACATTTCCCAAAACTTTGTATTACCTTTAAAACGCATTATACAGTCTAGGCCTAATTTTAGAAAATGAATGCATCGGACATAAATCCGCTGAAATGACAGTTCGGTGGCACGGTCTAATCATTTACCAGAGCATAAAGTTGGACAGGATTTTAATTGTTCCCCTCTTAGAAATGCCAGATTTGTTAGTGATTTAAAAAGTCTTTCTACCTAAAGTTTGGTATGCCAAGAATATCTTAATTTTCAGAATACCTACACTGCTGAGAAGACACAAATTATTATTATTTTCAAGATCCAAAATATGTGAAATTTTGCTTTTTTGTGTCAAACCCTATCATGACTTGAAATAATTATGCAAGGATTACAGGCAAGATCCAAGGAAGACATTTAAAGCAAAAAAATCACTGACACTGTAATTTAAATTCTATAAAATATATACAATCTAACAAATTCTTCCACTGTATTAAGGCATATTCAACACATTCTATATGAAAATGATCTGGACTCGTTTTCAACCAGTCTTTATATAAAGATGAGGCTTGCACTTATTGTATTTCAATGATTACATATCCGAAAAAATTTACAGTATCAAACCTATTAAAGGTTACATAACTATATGTTTTACTAAATGAACTCGCCCCCCCCCCCCCCCTCAAAAAAAAAAAAGAGTTCTAATGTCCATATGCAATTAAGCATAAATATAATGACTGAGATTATAAAATATGTCTGTAAATTTGCTTTATAGAGACTTTGTAGATGTATTCAGTCATATATGAAATTTCATTTCACAACTACTTTTTGTTAATCCACTACTACAGCAATTGACTGTTTTGCTTTCATAAATACAAACCTCAGAGTACAGGCCACCTCATCTAGAAACCTCTTCTGTCCTGAGATACATACAATATATATTCAAATACACATATAAAAGATCTGATCAGGGAGATAAACACGAGAGAAAGCCACAATTATATACACTCTTATCTAAATTTCTTCATGTAAAAGGTTGGAAATAAATTGCTATTGAATGCTACGCATCAATGGGCGATTAGTCCGATTGCCCTTTCAACTCCATCAAATGGTATGGAAACGAACTGCAGTGTGAAATATATATATTTATAAATTTTTGGCACATAATTTATTCAATGTATTTTCTAATCCTACATCTACTGTCTATGGGTGAATAATTGTGAGTTGCCCCGTAATACCTCCCTGATCAGAGTGACATACGACCCTGTTCCACTAGGGTCACCTCAGCGAGTGATCACCTCTGATAAGAGTGGAAGAAGGTAGTATAAACCAGGATTGTGTTTTTGACTTGGAGTTACACTGCTTCACTATCAGCCCTTTGTCGGGTATTTGATTGTCAAGGCACAGTTTGCTTAGAGTATGCTGGAGAGAGTTGTCCACTCTCGTCCATTTCTACGGAGAGAAGAAAAAGAAGAGAATAGTCACATATTACAGCAGTCCAATCAATAACAATTGGTTTACTCTATGGCCCAAATTCACAAAGGAGGTTTAAATCTTCATTTACATAACCTGTGGTGTAAAATAAGCACGACACATTCAATATCCAATATTAGATGCACACAAGGTGCACTCATTTTTTAACTATGGGTTAAGTTAAACCTCCTTTACGTTTAACTTGGGGTAGAAGTTATCAACTCTCACTTATCTTGCATGCAAGCCCTAACTTAGAATTTTATTTTGGGTGCTAAAAACTCATTTTACACATTTCATACTACAAATCAATAATTTTAAAGGGGAATACCAAACAAAAATAAATACCGGTATACACCCTTTTCAAGCTTAGTGTATCACTTTAGAAGGTTGTATTTAGGAGAACAGCTACTTTGAAAATCATATCATTGAGGCCTGATTTGATGACGTCATAGAGTGAAGTAAGTTCAAACCCGGAGAGAAGATGAAAGAAGTTGAAAATAAAGAATGACATAAGAATTAAAGTAGTAAGCAATTGAATATCTTATGTTTTTTGTTATTCAGACCAGATTTGGCGTGGGATTAGAGGTAAAGCATTCATCACAAGCGACACTTCCAGGTTAGCACTTACTTCACCCCATGACGTCATCAGATCGGGCCTCAATATTTTCGGGAAACTTGCAATCAAACATGGTTTAGAATACAATTTTCAAAGTAGTCTTTCTCCTAAATAAAACCTTCTAAAGTGATGCACTAAGCTTGAAAAGGGTGTATGATTTGACAGTTTTTTTTCTTTTTCTTCTGTATTCTTCTTTTAGGTCCAGGCAGAAATTTAAACTCATATCGACATGTACATGTAGAATGATAACTATTTTGAGCCTGAGGGACAATTTTCATCCCCCCCCCCCAAACAAAAAAATGATTAAGGCTTTGGGTCTAAAATTACAAGGTAAATCTATCTAACATGAAAGCAGATACTAGGGAGACTGTCTGTAACGACCATCTGTTATTTCTCACCTGTTTTATATCGTTTGGAAGGCAGCTAGAGATATAAACACGAGAGTCTACATGAGTTGAGGTTACAGTCAAACACGTAGCATCCTGCTCCACTGTGTCGTCTTTGGTTATTATCCAAGACTGCATTTAAAGAGATAGAGAGAAAACATGTTTAGACATTACTACCGGTATACATAATATAGTATTAATGACTGCTTTGAGAAAAACAACTATTTCTCGAATATTAAAGCAGTCATTAATACTTTTATATGCCCAAAAAAAAGAGTCAACTTATGACACCACCTTGGCCTTTATCTAGTTTATCTGCATGGTTGTTTAAAAAAAAAAAAAAAAAATTAAAAAAATTGTCGAAGATGGGATTCGATCTCTTGCGTACAAATGATGTGACTAAAGTCACCACCTTAGACCACTCGGCCATCGCACACTGATACCATACTTTTCTCCAGTTTTCTCTAATGTATAGATTAAAATGGATTGAAAACAGCTTCGCGTGCTGGATGCTTCGCAGTAGCTCCATTAAACGGGCCCTTCTTTTACTTTTGCAATGCATTGGCACGAACTTAGATCAAGATCTATCGGCAGATGTTGTTTTTGGAAGTTTATTTTCGTCTGCATGTCAACAATGCAAGATAAAATTGTCGGTAAGATCGATCGAGATTCAATTGTATTGAAATTACCGACCAATTCTTCGCACATGTACGGTATCCGCAATCGCTCAAACCATTTTTTAACATGTAAACCTATGGGTATTTCACCAAGACTGAACTATTTCCCCAGTAACCATGGTTACTGGGATTTTAGAACTATTTTTTAGAACTATTACATGGGTTTGGGTTTATGAATGCAATTTCGACCAATCAGAAGGCTGGATTTCTTAAGTGAGGTATATAAATACTTATACGAGACTAATAACTACACAATCATCTTATTACAGACCTGACAGCGCTCTCTTAATATTAATAATATGTCCATTTGTACATATTGCATAGCTTAAAAACAGATGCAAAAGTATCTCATCTTCAATCCTTGAAAAGATTAATCAGTGACAAATTTAGATTCATATGGTTTTACTTTCAGTTTGAATCAAGTAAATTGTTCAAATATAAAAACAACTGTACCCAATGTGATATCTAGACTAGTGTTTTATGGTATCTTGGACCTTTTCTGTCAATAAGCCAGTTCATTTTTGCAGACTGAGCATGAGCAGATAAAGGTCATTGCAGACCAAATTGTTAAATACATAGAGACAAAATACTGGATACGTGCTCATGAAAGTTATGTAATCATTACCGATTCATGCACAAGCAGTGCAATCCATGATACACAGGTGGAAGTACTGGTGTTCTTTGAAAAGGGGAAACAAAGGTCATTTATGTAGCATCTCCATCGCTGTAGGAGTGATCATTTAAAAAATGTACAAAGTGGGACCTCTTCACGTTTTGAAGATCTGTGGATATTCAGAGTCATCTGGGACATGTGCTATCCGTGAACTTGGTCTATTGCTTCTCACCTGATGTTTCTGTTTCTTGGAGCACCTTGCCATGACAGGAGGCCATGCAGACCCAGTAGGATGGGGTGAGGAATCCAAACAGGTGTTTCCTTGCTTGATCTGACCGTACACCAACTCATTAGGACCAGGAATTCTAGAGAAGACGAAAGAGAAAGAGGAAAGAAAAAGTTAGAACAAATATAGAATTTCTCTTTAGGTAGGACGAGTTAATCTAAAACAGGAGCACAAAAAAAAGGAAGGTAAAATTTCTTACGCTTTTTCGTTAGGACCCCAAATTCTACATTTATTGAGCATTAGGGTTGAAGTTTCTTTTGATGGAGAAAACAAATTAACTGATGAAGAACAGTTAATATCATCTATTTATGACTTTCTGGCTCCGAATGGATGATATCATCCCTAATTTGTCCTTTCCCTAATAATAATAATATTCTGCTTTCAAATAGCACCCAATACATCGATACAACAATGTGTCTAAGCGATTTACAGATATATTATTACCCGGTCATCTGTTTCAGGCTTACCCGCACACGATGTATGCACATTCTACAATCCCTGGGTAGCACTCCAGCCAGGCGTCATTTAAGCGCACACTTGCTCATCCAACCACATTTCGCATCCTACCAGGTACCCATTTAACACCTGGGTGGAGAGTGGCAAATGTAGATTAACGTCTTGCCAAAGAACATTAGTGCTGCGGGACTCGAACCCATACCTTGTAATCTACAGTCGGGTGACTAATATCCACTAGACCACAACACCTCACTAACAATGGCTAATAGAATAGTTGCTTACATACATCATACCCAACTTTTGTATTTGCATTATTTATAGATTTAATAAGAGATTATTTCTATGAATATATTCTTTGTTATGAAGAGCTTATGACCGAATTTTGTGTCATTTTCTACCACTTCTAACTACATGTACTAATTAATTTAATATTCATGATTTAAATGGGTTGGCACTATGTCCTTTGGCAAGACATTGATCTACATTTGCCACACTCAACCCAGGTGATGTAAATGGGTACCTGGCAGGAATTAATTCCTTGAGCGCCTTGAGTGTCCAGTCTGACAGATACAAGCACTATACAAGAACCCAGCAATATTATTATTATTATTATTACTACTATCTGAACACCATTCTGTATTGCCTTCAGACAATTTTCCATGTATATGTAAGTATTTCCTTTCCAGGTATTGTCTGATTATTGTACCTTACTCGTTTTCCCCTACCTACCCCCTTCGGTTTATTTTCATGACAAGTAACTTGAGCATATTGTATAGAAAACTAAATTATATAGACAGTCTGCTAAATGGTTCTTTTGTCATCTCTGCTCAAGTTGCAAATAATTTGTGCTTCTCGCAGGTAAGTGTCTGTTCACCCAATACTAATAACCCTTGCATAAATGACAAAAGAAGGAGATAGGGGAGAGAGAGAGAGAGAGAGAGAGAGGAGCCCCTCAAACTTTCACCAACCATTATGATTAAAACATTACCCTGGGTTTTAAATGAGTAATCCCTTAATGTAGTTGAATGTCAAACGGGGGCATGACGGGTGATCCTTTTATCTGCCGTTCTATTTATCACGACATCCACAGCCACTCTGTGATGTACCGTCAAAGGAGCCCCAGGCATTATCTCATTGATGGCAGGCTTTTAAGACGTACCGTGCTGAAAGCTTCCCACCAAGGGAAATCAACTCCATGCAGCGTACACTCAACCACAAAATGCAAATGAACTCCTTCAAAGAGAAGCAGGGACCATTGCGTTGACCACTTAAAACAACAATGATGGTTAACCTCGTTCTCAGGAGCCCGGAAGGTGATGGCGGAACATCTTATGCGTGAAGTTTCTTGACCTTAACCCTTTGAATACCAAGCTCTTGATATCTCAGACTGAGATGTATGGAAAAGGCGAGTTATACCCAAATCAAATTGTATTCAATGGGAGGGGTGGGGTCATTGTCTGTGTCTGACCCCTCTCCTCCCACCCTCTGAAAAACAAAACTATGACATTGCAAACTGAAACTTTTCAAAGCATTCATTCTAATTTCTTTATTACGAAGTTGATAAAACTCTTTTCTTTTAAAGACTCAAATAGCCTCCAACAATTGATCATTAGCAGTGGATTCTAAAACTATGCTCCGAGCTAGGCATTGACCTTGGCTTGATGGATGGATGAGTAAGACTAAAGAGCTTAGAGCTTGTTTACTCATGTGCTTCAGATCAACTTCAGCTGGCACTCTAAAACACAGCCCCTCCAATCAATTACAGGAAGTATACACACTTGGACTTCCCAAGGTAAAACATTTTGATATTGAGGATGCTTATATGATACCCCATATCTCTAGGCGCGTCTTCATCATCTCGAGATTGCCAAATAGCCCGCTATTTCTGATTTGAGAAATAATCCAGAAGTAACAAATTCACTATCTCGAGATTGGACCTCGAAACTTGAAACTCGACATTGAGAAATTAGCTTGAGATATTTGCTCAACGTTAGCGCGAATTGCGAATCTTCGGTCTAGTGAAGACGCATGGGACAAATAGCTGGATATTTTGCAAACCATCCCAAAATATCTTGGGATGACAATCCTGGCCAAATATCCTTCTAATTGCTACTTCGGTCTGATGAAGACGAAATTAGCTGGATAGTTTGCGATCGGGATAGTTCAAATAGCTGGATATTTAGCAATCTCAAGATAGTGAAGACAGGCCTAATGACATGACTCTCTAAACCAATTTTTTGTTTGTTTAGTTGAATTGCTTTGCAGAAGAAAAACGTCCCTTGGCAAATTCAAGAATACATATTGATTTCAAAATTTCATTTGATTCCTCAAAGGTCCACTTGTATATGCAGAAAATAGATGCATGGGATGCTTATTCAAGTTGGCATATTGCATTCACCTAACAGAAATATAATTTTCATGCATATGAAGAAAGCTAATCGGATGCACTGTACTTCAGATATTGGGGATTTTCTCTTTACTTCCCTAAAACAATGTTATTAAGATAGCTAAACTAATACCTTCAATTGATACTTTTGGGAAATTCTATATACGTACTTGAAAATTAGATGGATATTCAGTAAAGCTGATGTTACATATCAATGCTGTTTTAGCATTCTTTCAAATCACTCAAATGTTATATACCTGCTTGAGAGCGAGACAGCCATTTGCCCAACTTTGCCCACTTGTCAGTAATTTGATAGTACATATGAGCAGATCCCCCACACAAGGATATGGTAAAGGATTGATAGAGATGAAAAAAATAATATCAAATGATTCTAACTTTAAAAATGGAGAGGCTGGCTATATGGGTACATAACCCACATAGCAGAATGAAGGAAACGAGAACCATGTTCAATCATCAGGGTCTTACCATTTAAAGACAATCACATTATTATTTGATGCACACTATGAAGAGAAGTATGGTACATCAGTGTGTTCAATTCATTCATCTTTCACTCTGCAACTCATTCTATTTCAGTCGCACAAGCTTAAAATGGCAGCAACATAGCTCATTCAACTTTGCAATACCTTTGTTGTCTAATACATGCATGAAAATTGGTGGAACTAAACAGATTGAAATCCAGACCCTTCTTCCAAAGGTTCAATTTCACACATACAGGTATGATATCGTCATTCATGAACAGAAAGTCTTCAATTGCACATAAATTTTCACCTAATAGCACTTTAGATTATTTCTTCACTCAAATAACCATGATATTTGCATAAAGGGGACATTAAAGGCACATATGAGAATGCTCTTATAGACTATTATTATGGTCCCAGGGACCAAAACAACACACTTACTTGAGCTCAGGATACACATTCGTCAGGTACCACTTAAATGATTGACATTTCAGCTGTTTCCTCAGCTCTTTCCTTTCACTCACGCTGCAAAAGAGAAATGATGGGAAAATAAAAAAACAATGAGTCAAGCTCAAGAACAACATTCTTCTTCTCCCCCCCCCCATCCTTTAATATTTACATTTCATATGCTGGCGACGTTAAAGGTTGGTCCCTAGACATAAATAATCATATCTGATTGATACATGTCTGTAAAAACCCAATTACAAGCTAGTCCAATGTGGTGTAAATCATCCTTAACAATTGATGCTAATAAAGCAAGAGCTTCAACTGTAATATGATTTTCCTTGGTAAATGTCGTACATTACATTTTACAATAGAAAAGTAACAACGGACTTTCAATGTCTCCTTTTTACACAGAATGTATAATTATAATGGGAAATTTGACCTGGTAGTAACATGAATTTCTTATTTAAAGTTCATATATTTCGTTCTCTCGTAAATTGTCAACATCAAAAGATACCTATTTTGGCTCTTGCAGCCAAGCCCCAAAAATACCAATTTCAATTTATTTCTATTGTTTAACATGACAATCATTATACAAACTTGTTTGACTTACCACATGATACAGGCAAAGAACATAGCTATTGAATTTCGAATTACAATACATTGCATCTTTTAGAATACAGCATGAAACACAACGAAAACTGAAACAGATGGTTAGGTTCACAGGCGCGTCATCAAAACTAAATGAGCCATCAATTTTCAATGTCAAGGTTATTTTGCAAATCGATGTGTGAAATTCAATGGAAACATCAATATTAATGTAGTATTGATTTCCGAAGTGAGCTACATCTAATGGACTTTTGATCACACTTTTTCTGTGCAAATTATGCCATAAGAGAACCAATAAGAATAAAAAGGGACATGGAATAATAAAGAAAACAAGCAATCGACTTTCAATAATGTATCAATTTGCAGAATGATGCTGTATTAATTCAATTTCAATTTTTGAGCAGGAGAAAGTGAAAACAGCTCTCATAATTTCAAGGACGGCACACCCTTATGAGATGGTCAATATAAAGATAGCTCATTCATATTGACTCATACTTTCACATTTTTTGAGGGAAGCTCTACTGCTGTGAATTTCCTGAGACCGCCGTGACTTCTATGACTACATATCCTACTACTTACAAGAGACAATACAAATTTGTGAAAGGTCAAAATAGTAGGCTTTTCCATACAATTTATGCTTCTTATCTGTACTAAAACAGCACATACATTTCTATTCCATCTTTAACAAATGCAAAACGGTTGATTAACGGTTGTCATTATTATGGCCATTATGGCCTATTTTTTTACATGGATTCTAAAGAAAAAAACCCATCAAGAGTTAGCTTGTTTTTCAGCATATTAAAGTTGCTCGTGCGTGGGTATATAGAGGGCAGCACACAGACGCATGCACAGGAGCGTAATACCCGTTGGCTCAGTGTTATGTAGTGATCGCCAAGTTGTCTACTTCATGAACGACTATACAGTATACCCACGCATTAACATCTTTAAGATTCCTAAAATAGATTTTCTCTACTAATCATGTTTTATACATACTCTCCATAGAATTTCCCTCTTGCAGATGGTCTGGCATTGTAGAATAGAACCTTGAACTCATCCATCCAGACTTCAGCTGCCCTTCTCGTATTCCTGTTTAAAAAAAACACAGATGAAATGATTTAAGCTACGAGTGACCTAATTCATTCAGTCCAGGATTAAATTCATTAAATCATTGAATGTTAGAATTTGACTGAGGAGCTTTTGTAGCTGGAACATACATGTACTTCTTACTATAGACACACAAACATATGAACCGATTTAAAGGAGGATGAAACTCCAAAAATATTGGTTGATAACCTAGTGCAAAAAATTGTAAGCCTCCATCTTGAAATCACTCCAATATTGCAAATTTCCTTGCCTGCTGATTAAGAAGAACAATCTCTAAAAAGCTTGCATTTGCTTTGCTGCACATCCTTCCATGGGGTTTACCAATACATTAGTAATGTCACTGTAGTACAGCTTCTGAGTATGGTAGACTAGAGCCATCTATACCCAGAGTTTGGCCTACCCGGCGACTACTGCTTTGTTGGGCAAGCACAAAACAAAAGAATACCACCACCATGTGACCCAGTGAAACCAAGTTGGCCAAACTCTGTGTATAGATGGCTCTGGGTAGGTCCATGTTGTGAGATACCTTCTAACCTGCACTCTAACTGCTAATGTAGCAAACCCAACTGAAGAATGCATCACACTGAATTTCCTCTTGACACAATGATTTGGTTATGCATTCAAATGAATGGACTTTTATTCTCTCAGTCATAGCCAATAGACAAGATATTTGATTCAGCTGTTGTACAAGGTTGAGCAACTTCTTTTGTTATGCAGAACTTATCGCTTGGTCAGGCAAAGCTCTGACTAGTATTGATATGGGTGACAAAGGTTTGCATTAATTGAGCTGCTAACAGGATTCACCTCCCTGAGAGGCCAGGGATAACAAGCTGACTTCAATAGGCTATCTTTGGATTCATGCATGTACCTCTTATCCTAATGCATAGCAATAAATTATTACATTCACCTGTTACAAAATTCCTGTACTGGGTATTTCAATAGGCATTTTCCTAATGTAACCAAATTTATGCATACACCTTTGTGAAGCGCCTCAATTTGTATTACTTTATGCACCTATTTGGTTACATTATGCAAATGCCTGTTGTCAGAATGCTGATGCATGCATGAAGTTTTGCTTAGGTGGAACAGATTGGCCCAAATTCACAAAGGAGGTTTGTCGACAAACCTCCTTTGTGAATTCAGGCTGTTATGTTTGTCCAAGTAAGCATTCTGAATTCTGAATATTTAAAGAAAGTAATTGTAACTATGGCAGGAGCCTAATTTGTATCATTAGCTTTGGTTGTACAAAGGCCAATCAAAGCTGTATGTATACAGGTCAATAAATACATATCAACTTGTACATCACTATTCTAATCAAATTGGCACCACCATAGAAGGATCCTATGTCTAGGAAGGAAGTTGAAAATTAAGATTGTCCTTAAAAAGTAATAAAATATGAGACATTCAACAAAAATTAGCATGAGATTATCAGCTTTTTTCCTTTTTGTTGTTTCATTCTCTGAGGACAATGGGACAATTTTCACATGATTATCCCCTCAGGATAGCTTCACTCCTAGACAATAAATCTTCTCAGAAATGGGACTTCATAAACTATAACCTCCCTGGAACAAATATAGCTAAGGACAATTACCTACTAGGATAACTATTCCCTAGATATTACCTCCCTAAGACAAGGACTTTTAGGAAAAATAATTTCTTCATGATCGATAGCTAGTGTCTCTGGAAAGTACTTTAATACTAGGATAATAACTACCTAGACATTTACCACCCTAGGACACTTAGTTTTCAACAATAACTTCCCTAGGACAGCTGCCCCCCAGACAATTACATCCCTTGGATAACCAAATTTAATTGCCTTCCTTGGAAAAATGGAAAAAATCTGTGAGGACAATTACTCCCCACTAAATTACTTCCTGCTGAAAACCTAGGACAATTAGTACGTTAACTCCTCAATCATGCTGGATCAAGAGCAAGATGAGATCAATTTTGACGACATTGAAAGGACGCAAGTGGAATCAAGCTAATTATCAGCTTTCATGCGTAATCTGCTCAAGGGACTGTTTTGAGCCAGAAGGACGTGAACTCATATACTTTAACGCACACTTGAGCCTTCTGGCTCTGAAAATATGATATATTTTTTCTCTGTTATATAAGGCATGTTGTAAATGTATTTATACTAGAAAAATCATTTAAAATCCAATTTTGTATAGTGCTATAGTAGTATGTAAGGTAAAGACAGGCTTGTTATTGGGTAGTGATTTTTTAATATTCAGAAATATCGTGATTTGCTTTTTAAGCCCAACAGGGTTCCTGAAGTAAACATAAATTTATCATCACCTACCTGATATAAGTGTTTGCATTTCCATCTGGGAATGTATAAGGGTGTTTCTTGCGAAAGACATGTCCCACTCGACTGCATGGTATGATCTCTAGACTACCCCCACATTGCCACACTCGGAAAGAGATTTCTGCAAGATGTAAGCAGGGATGTAAATAACAAACAAAAAAAATTACAAAATAAATGTTGTGATGATATGCTAAATTGCTAATATAATTCAAAGATATACAATGAGCATGTTTACTTTACATACAATATCATAATGTAAACATTTAGCTGTTAATGTGAATTTGTAAAAGCTTTACCTATCTAGTGCAGTAACTAAAAAGCTTTTGCATATTATTGTTCTAAAAATCGACTAAAGAATACATTTTGAGATTACATATGTATAACTATTATGGTACATTAACTACTGTTGAATAGAAATAGAAGTACTTGAAAACTTCAGAAATTATAGCTCAGTGATTTAATCAAGGAAGATTACATGTCCTGCAATGATGTATACTTTAAAAAAAAAAGATGGAATGATAATCATGTCTCATATATCCTTTAAACATTTTCAGGGATAGAATTTTCCATTCAGCCCACTGAGAATGATCTAGGAAGGAAAATTTTACTGCTAGGTGAGGATACATTCGAGTGACAACCACGCCAGATTGAAGGAAATACAAGCTGACATGCAATGATAATGAATGTCATTTCGGTGACGCACAGTCTCCATCTTGTCTTCTTCTTCTTCCTCTTCTTAGTTCCTTCTCCGACCTTGTCAAAGGATAAAACTTTGACAGCCCATCTTGTAAACATTTCTCATTTACTGAATGTATGCTGTCAGGAGTGAACTATATATGGAGGAAATGTGAGGGGACTCTAATAAATTAACAGTAATATTCCCCTACCTAAAGTGTTGTTTAAAGAAGAAAAAAAAAATCACATTTGATTCAATTGTGAAAAGAAAATTCACTTTCTTTTAAGTAACTTTGTATTCTAATTATGTTTACAAAACAAGGAGGCAAGAATAACTGGCTTGTGAACACATTTCATTTTAAGTGTTTGTTATTCAATAATGCTCTCTATTCATATCACTTGGACTATAAAGTTTGAACTAGATAGCCTTATGTACACTTGCATTAAATAAAAACATAGTTTGGTTAGAAAAGAGGCCTCTTTGGAAATGTTCATATTTTGGCAAAAATGAGGGGTTAACCCCTTGCCTTTTTTCTCAAAAAGTGGTTTTTTTCAAAATTTCATGAAATCATCTACAATACCATATTTTGGATGAATAGAGGTCACAGACATCTTCCTGAGATGAAAAGAGGTCTTTTTGAAAATGTTCATATTTTGGCAAAAATGAGGGGTTAACTAACCCCTTGCCTTTTTTCTCAAAAAGTGCCTTTTTTGAAAATTTCATGAAATCATCTACAATACCATATTTTGAAGGAATTGAGGTCACGACATCTTCCTGAGATGAAAAGAGGTCTTTTTGAAAATGTTCATAATTTGGCAAAAATGAGGGGTTAACCCCTTGCCTTTTTTCTCAAAAAGTGCCTTTTTTGAAAATTTCATGAAATCATCTACAATACCATATTTTGGATGAATAGAGGTCACAGACATCTTCCTGAGATGAAAAGAGGTCTTTTTGAAAATGTTCATATTTTGGCAAAAATGAGGGGTTAACCCCTTGCCTTTTTTCTCAAAAAGTGCCCTTTTTCTAAATTTCATGAAATCATCTACAATACCATATTTTGGAGGAATTGAGGTCACAGACATCTTCCTGAGATGAAAAGAGGTCTTTTTGAAAATGTTCATATTTTGGCAAAAATGAGGGGTTAACCCCTTGCCTTTTTTCTCAAAAAGTGCCTTTTTTGAAAATTTCATGAAATCATCTACAATACCATATTTTGGATGAATAGAGGTCACAGACATCTTCCTGAGATGAGAAGAGGTCTTTTTGAAAATGTTCATATTTTGGCAAAAATGAGGGGCTAACCCCTTGCTTTTTTTCTCAAAAAGTGCCCTTTTTAAATTTCATGAAATCATCTACAATACCATATTTTGGATGAATAGAGGTCACAGACATCTTCCTGAGATGAAAAGAGGTCTTTTTGAAAATGTTAATATTTTGGCAAAAATGAGGGGTTAACCCCTTGCCTTTTTTCTCAAAAAGTGCCTTTTTTGAAAATTTCATGAAATCATCTACAATACCATATTTTGGATGAATAGAGGTCACAGACATCTTCCTGAGATGAAAAGAGGTCTTTTTGAAAATGTTCATATTTTGGCAAAAATGAGGGGTTAACCCCTTGCGTTTTTTCTCAAAATGTGGCTTTTTTCAAAATTTCATGAAATCATCTACAATACCATATTTTGGATGAATAGAGGTCACAGATATCTTCCTGAGATGAAAAGAGGTCTTTTTGAAAATGTTCATATTTTGGCAAAAATGAGGGGTTAACCCCTTGCCTTTTTTCTCAAAATGTGGCTTTTTTCAAAATTTCATGAAATCATCTACAATACCACATTTTGGATGAATAGAGGTCACAGACATCTTCCTGAGATGAAAAGAGGTCTTTTTGAAAATGTTCATATTTTGGCAAAAATGAGGGGTTAACCCCTTGCCTTTTTTCTCAAAAAGTGCCCTTTTTCTAAATTTCATGAAATCATCTACAATACCATATTTTGGATGAAAAGAGGTCACAGACATCTTCCTGAGATGAAAAGAGGTCTTTTTGAAAATGTTCATATTTTGGCAAAAATGAGGGGTACCCCTTGCCTTTTTTCTCAAAAAGTGCCTTTTTTGAAAATTTCATGAAATCATCTACAATACCATATTTTGGATGAATAGAGGTCACAGACATCTTCCTGAGATGAAAAGAGGTCTTTTTGAAAATGTTCATATTTTGGCAAAAATGAGGGGTTAACCCCTTGCCTTTTTTGAAAATTTCATGAAATCATCTACAATACCATATTTTGAAGGAATTGAGGTCACGACATCTTCCTGAGATGAAAAGAGGTCTTTTTGAAAATGTTCATATTTTGGCAAAAATGAGGGGCTAACCCCTTGCTTTTTTCTCAAAAAGTGCCCTTTTTAAATTTCATGAAATCATCTACAATACCATATTTTGGATGAATAGAGGTCACAGACATCTTCCTGAGATGAAAAGAGGTCTTTTTGAAAATGTTAATATTTTGGCAAAAATGAGGGGTTAACCCCTTGCCTTTTTTCTCAAAAAGTGCCTTTTTTGAAAATTTCATGAAATCATCTACAATACCATATTTTGGATGAATAGAGGTCACAGACATCTTCCTGAGATGAAAAGAGGTCTTTTTGAAAATGTTCATATTTTGGCAAAAATGAGGGGTTAACCCCTTGCCTTTTTTCTCAAAAAGTGCCTTTTTTGAAAATTTCATGAAATCATCTACAATACCATATTTTGGATGAAAAGAGGTCACAGACATCTTCCTGAGATGAAAAGAGGTCTTTTTGAAAATGTTCATATTTTGGCGAAAATGAGGGGCTAACCCCTTGCTTTTTTTCTCAAAAAGTGCCCTTTTTCTAAATTTCATGAAATCATCTACAATACCATATTTTGGAGGAATTGAGGTCACAGACATCTTCCTGAGATGAAAAGAGGTCTTTTTGAAAATGTTCATATTTTGGCAAAAATGAGGGGTTAACCCCTTGCCTTTTTTCTCAAAAAGTGCCTTTTTTGAAAATTTCATGAAATCATCTACAATACCACATTTTGGATGAATAGAGGTCACAGACATCTTCCTGAGATGAAAAGAGGTCTTTTTGAAAATGTTCATATTTTTGCAAAAATGAGGGGTTAACCCCTTGCCTTTTTTCTCAAAAAGTGCCTTTTTTGAAAATTTCATGAAATCATCTACAATACCATATTTTGTAGGAATTGAGGTCACGACATCTTCCTGAGATGAAAAGAGGTCTTTTTGAAAATGTTCATATTTTGGCAAAAATGAGGGGTTAACCCCTTGCCTTTTTTCTCAAAAAGTGGCTTTTTTCAAAATTTCATGAAATCATCTACAATACCATATTTTGGATGAATAGAGGTCACAGACATCTTCCTGAGATGAAAAGAGGTCTTTTTGAAAATGTTCATATTTTGGCAAAAATGAGGGGTTAACCCCTTGCCTTTTTTCTCAAAAAGTGCCTTTTTTGAAAATTTCATGAAATCATCTACAATACCATATTTTGGATGAATAGAGGTCACAGACATCTTCCTGAGATGAAAAGAGGTCTTTTTGAAAATGTTCATATTTTGGCAAAAATGAGGGGTTAACCCCTTGCCTTTTTTCTCAAAAAGTGCCTTTTTTGAAAATTTCATGAAATCATCTACAATACCATATTTTGGATGAATAGAGGTCACAGACATCTTCCTGAGATGAAAAGAGGTCTTTTTGAAAATGTTCATATTTTGGCAAAAATGAGGGGTTAACCCCTTGCCTTTTTTCTCAAAAAGTGCCTTTTTTGAAAATTTCATGAAATCATCTACAATACCATATTTTGGATGAATAGAGGTCACAGACATCTTCCTGAGATGAAAAGAGGTCTTTTTGAAAATGTTCATATTTTGGCAAAAATGAGGGGTTAACCCCTTGCCTTTTTTCTCAAAAAGTGCCCTTTTTCTAAATTTCATGAAATCATCTACAATACCATATTTTGGAGGAATTGAGGTCACAGACATCTTCCTGAGATGAAAAGAGGTCTTTTTGAAAATGTTCATATTTTGGCAAAAATGAGGGGTTAACCCCTTGCCTTTTTTCTCAAAAAGTGCCTTTTTTGAAAATTTCATGAAATCATCTACAATACCATATTTTGGATGAATAGAGGTCACAGACATCTTCCTGAGATGAAAAGAGGTCTTTTTGAAAATGTTCATATTTTGGCAAAAATGAGGGGTTAACCCCTTGCCTTTTTTGAAAATTTCATGAAATCATCTACAATACCATATTTTGGATGAATAGAGGTCACAGACATCTTCCTGAGATGAAAAGAGGTCTTTTTGAAAATGTTCATATTTTGGCAAAAATGAGGGGTTAACCCCTTGCCTTTTTTCTCAAAAAGTGCCTTTTTTGAAAATTTCATGAAATCATCTACAATACCATATTTTGGATGAATAGAGGTCACAGACATCTTCCTGAGATGAAAAGAGGTCTTTTTGAAAATGTTCATATTTTGGCAAAAATGAGGGGTTAACCCCTTGCCTTTTTTCTCAAAAAGTGGCTTTTTTCAAAATTTCATGAAATCATCTACAATACCATATTTTGGATGAATAGAGGTCACAGACATCTTCCTGAGATGAAAAGAGGTCTTTTTGAAAATGTTCATATTTTGGCAAAAATGAGGGGTTAACCCCTTGCCTTTTTTCTCAAAAAGTGCCTTTTTTGAAAATTTCATGAAATCATCTACAATACCATATTTTGGATGAAAAGAGGTCACAGACATCTTCCTGAGATGAAAAGAGGTCTTTTTGAAAATGTTCATATTTTTGCAAAAATGAGGGGTTAACTCCTTGCCTTTTTTCTCAAAAAGTGCCTTTTTTGAAAATTTCATGAAATCATCTACAATACAATATTTTGGATGAATAGAGGTCACAGACATCTTCCTGAGATGAAAAGAGGTCTTTTTGAAAATGTTCATATTTTGGCAAAAATGAGGGGTTAACCCCTTGCCTTTTTTGAAAATTTCATGAAATCATCTACAATACCATATTTTGAAGGAATTGAGGTCACGACATCTTCCTGAGATGAAAAGAGGTCTTTTTGAAAATGTTCATATTTTGGCA